TTTTTTCTCTTTATATTTCAGTTTGGGTAGTTTCTATTGACCCATCTTCTTCCTTCAGCTGTCTCCATCTACTGATAAGCCCATTAAAGGCATTCTTCATCTCTGGAACTTGTTTTCATTTCTAGATGTTCATTTGATTTTTTTCTTACGGTTTCCACTTCTCTGCTGAAAATATCCATCTGATCTTTCATAGTGTTCACCTTTTCCATGAGATCTTTTAACGTTATGGTTATTTTAAATTCCCTGAAAGACAGCTTCAATATCTGTGTCATATCTAAGTGTGGTTCTGATGATTCCTTTGTCTCTTGGGAGTGTGTTGTGTTTTCTAGCCTTTTTGTATGTTCAGTTGAAAGTGTGACATCTTGTGTAGTACACTAGAAAATGAGGTAACAGGTTTTATGCCTGGAAATGAGTAGGAGCTTCCTTCTGCTAGGACTTTAGTGAAGGGGTTTGAGTTAATTCAGTTAGGATTTGGGCTGGCTTTGAAGTTTGATGTTTCTCTGGTTGACCTTAGTAGGCTTTAAGTTCCTCTAGTGATGCCTTGTGTTTAGGGAGCTAAACTAGTTTGTCAGACGACTTTTTTTTCTCAGTGTCAACTCCATCTTAAGCGTTAAAACCCCTTTCTGTGCTGTGCCTCAGGAAGGGTCTCTTTCCAGCCCTTATCCCTCTCTTACCTCATTCATGGTACTATTCTGCTTTCCATTGTTGTGTTTAGCTTTTTAGCTAAACTATGGGGGTGGGTGGTGAGCATGAGAGTTCTCTCTCGTTCTGAGTAAGCCTCGGTCTTATGTAACCATGTGTCCCGAGTCTCAAAAATGTAGCCTCTTCAGTGAGTGCTACTGCCCCCCCATCAGGCTGTAATTCTGGACCCATTGCCTATCCCCCTCCCCTCCTAACAGAAGTTAAAAATTTTTTTCTTCCCTTATTCAGCGGCAGTGGGTCTCCACCAGTGCCTAGGGAGGACAGTGGTGGCTGCCTTTCTCTCCACAGATGAAGGCTTTTATTCCATATGGGAAATAAAGTGGGTTGGGATGGGAACAGAAGGCAGGACCTCCCAAGTTTACCACAGTAGACACTTACATCTTTCTCTACTCTTTTCTTAGAGTTACCTGGTGAGGCTGTGGAGAGAAATCATGGAGAGGATGTGGACTCTCTCACCCATTGTCTGCAGCCTCTAAGGGCTTCAAGCTCTCTTGTCAGTTTACACTTAGCCTTCATAAATCTGCCAAACCACCCTAGCTGATCTCTTGTGACCAGTTGTGTTAACCCCAGGTAAGCTAGTGCTCACGTCTTGGCTGTCTCTTCAGGAGTCTCTCTCCCTGGATTTGGTTAGGTGGTTGCCCTGTGACCTTAGAGAAGTTTAAGAAAAACTCATGAATTTGCCATTTGCCTGGCTTATTCCTACTGTTAAGTTTGGGAATGATGTACTTTCTAGCTCTTACATCCTCCAGTGAAACCCTTAAGCCCAGTGTCATTACTTGAACCACTTGAATTCTATGTCCTGCTGGGCACACAGATAATGCTGGAGCTGGGATTTGATACTCTTATCGCTACAGCCTATTTTTCCTCCCTTCTTTATTTCCCTTTCCTGTATTTACATTTCATTCATAAAATATTTACTGAGCACCTACTAGGTGGCAAGCCCTAAGCCTGATACAGAGACAAATTAGTATTTAGTGTGAGCATAACTATGACAGAAGCTGTCACAGGGCACCATGGGATACCAGAGCCACTTACCCCTGTTAAACTTAGGAAAGCTGGCTGCTCATACCCACCCAGCAAGCGAATTTTGGAACCTGCCTCGTGCTCATGAGGCCATTCTCTTAGCCACTGAATGCCATCTGGCCAGGAGCCCAAGTCTGAAATTAATGATACCACACATTGGAGATGAGGATTGCATTACAGAGTTCTTTGAGGTTTTCTGCCAGCAGACCTGTAGGCTGACGAGAGGAAAGTAACCTTCATTCCCCAGAACTGTGAACTCCTAAGTCGACTTGCTCTGAAGTGTGTTGTGTTTATGATAGATGCATTATTTAATCTGTTGAAAGGATCAATAAAGCCAACTTAAAACTTGTTTCAGTAATAGCCTGTGCTACAGGCAAGCCTGGGCTGATTTTTAAAAAAAAATATTAGAGCATTTGGGTTGGAATCCACTAAACTGCCTCACGGAGCTAAAAGCAGAAAATTCACTAGAGCAATGGTGCATTGGCAAAATCTGTCAAAATGTGTGTTAAGAAACACCATAATAATGATAATATTGCATCTTTACTTCTTGAGAGCTTCACGGTTTACAAGCATTTTTTACCTTTAGTGTTTGTTTAGTTTTTTTGATCCCCATAATGACCCTGAAATGGGGTAAGGGAGGCATGATTTCTGTCTGGTTGAAACCTAGGTCTGGAAACCAGTCAGCCAGCCCCTGAGTCACAGGGCTAATATTCAGTGAAAACAGATATCTGGGACCTTTGCTTTGCTCACAGTCTGAGCTGAACCATTTTTTCATGACCCACTCTGCATGCCTTTTTTCAGCCCATTTTGGATATTCTTATGGACCTGACCCCTTCCTAGTTCTGCCCTGATCTCTCAGACTCCACCCTTGATTCTGCTCCCCTGCTATGAACTTTAATTCCCACCTACTTTCGTCACAACTTTTGTTTGCTCCCTTGACTAGTTTACTTGCAGCTGTTCCCCGGTAATACCTTTCATGCCTGAATAATATTTCTGCAATTACTGGTACATCCACTTGTATTGCTTGAAGTGACGTCATCGATGATGATGATGATGGTGGTGGTGGTGGTGGTGGTGACAGCAGCAGCAGTTCTCAGTTGATTCCTTACGGTGAGTAAGACACTGAGTTTTCCATATTTTATCTCATTGAAATTTTGAACCTCAGACTATCCCATGAAATAGTACTATTTTTATCCCTACCATACAGATAAGTCACAAAGAACTTAGGTGAACCTAGTCGGGGTGGATGAAAGGACATGGATTTGTGTTCTGGCTCTGCAATGTACTCCCTGTGTAATTTTAGACTGCTCCCTAATCTCTCTGTGTTCCTAATCCCTCAGTTTGTTCATTGGTAACAAAATGGCGGATGATTAATTTCTCTGGTCTGAGGTTGCTGGGAATATGAAGTTGAAAAGATCCTGGCACACAGTGGGGATGTCAAGATAAGTTTCTCTCTTAATTTTAGGGCTTTTATCTTCAATTCACAGGGGATTCTTGGGAATTCCAAATGCCACTTTACAAAAAGTGATTATCCTACCTTTTTCTTCTTCATAAAACAACTGTGGCTATATATTCCATCAAGGGAGACAGGGAGCAGGGAATGGGATCCTTTCTGGTGGAGGTGTAGGAAAAGGTTTTAGATTTCAGGGTTGGTGGAGATTAATGGTTGCAGTGATGTGTAAACATTCAGTTTGGGATCTGAAAGAGTGACCTTGGGAACTGAGTGCTCCCCTTTGCTCTGACAAAGAAACCCCTGTGTTGGCTAAATAATGTAGAAGAGATTTCCATTGGGCAATGGAGGGAAATTGAATTATTTAGTGTATTTCCCTTTCAATGAGTTAATCAAGATAATTGCTGTTTTCCTGGATCTTTGTCTTTCTTTGTAATTAACAAGGCCCGGGTTTGGAGACAGGAATTTAGCCAGTGAACTTTGTACAAATTGCTGTGACATTTTTTTGGGTGCAAATTGTACTGAAAAATCTATTACAAATCCTTTTCCTCTGGATTCCAGGACTGTGAGAAACTGATGCTTGAACAAGCTTGAGAAAAATTTACAGTTCAAGGATTTAAGTTCATGTGGGATTAACAAACTCAGCAGGGGACAGCAGGGCAGGGCTTAAAGCACAGGAGCTCTGGCATCAGACAGACCCCAGTTCTGCCACATTCTCACTGTCTAACAGAGAGCCTCTCTGAGCTTTAGTTTCTATTTCTATAAAACGGATACTATTGTTCATTTTCCAGAGCTGTTGTGAGGATTAAATGCAATAATGTGGTTCCTAGCCCATATCTGGTGCTACTTAGATTTTTTAAAGCTTCCGGCCACCAACCCCTGCCCGCCTCCGGCCCCAAGATCTCAGCCTTGTAGCAAAACGAGAAGGTACAAAATCCATTCATTAAAATAGCTCAAAGAGGAAGACCTCAGATACACATGTATTTGATTTGACTAGGATTGGAATAAGCCGAACTTCTGGTTTTCTGGCTACACCACTTAAGAAGTGCTACCCTGGAGGAGGGGAAGGGAAGTGAGCCCCTGGGGGTGGATGGCATGACCATAACATATAGTGATGCAATAGCGCCACTCTGAGGGGGGAAGCAGTAAAATTATACTAAGAGACACAGGAGCAGATCAAAGAACAGTTTACAGTCACTTTGGGCAGGGGCAAAGGGTTCTGGCCTCACTTTCTACATAATATGCAATTGTGGCTGTTCCTTATTAAGGATCTCGACTCATAAAGAGAAAGGTTTCATTATGTTCGTATAACGGGTTTGAGGAGGGAGGCATGGAAAGCATTTGTTAAATTCCACCCCAAATGGTTAAAATGAAAACAAATATTTTTTTGAAACTTGACGATGTGAGCTTTGATTACGTGGAAAATTCATCTACATGGAACCGTTCTTTCTCCCACTGCCATTATTTCTGGACAGGAATCATATGAAGACGCTAGCGCTCTGTGGTTTTTATCTACATTACTTCCCTGTGCTATGCTGGGCAGGTATTTCCATTGTACAGATGTGGCAACTGAGGCTTAGAGGGATGCAAGCCCAACTCTTCTAATGTCAAAGTTCATGCCTTTTCCACTACATCGTGTTGCTTTCTAGGAGCAATCGTCTGGAATATGAACACGCAGAACATATTGTAGGCAATAATGGTTTGCATCCCAAATTCTGAGCGAAAACAAAATATATCCAAAAACTTTCATTCCATCGACTCACCTCTAATCGTACAATACATCTCATGAAACAAGATCATCAAGTGGCCTTGTTGTGATACTTACTCGTAAAATGTTGTCCATCCATTTTCATTGCTTTTGGTTGCCAGAAGGCCAGAGTTGCCATGGTATGTCATCATGGCCAACTCATGTCCTTGCGTGGTCACACTCTTGAGTGCACTGTTGGTGCCCATGGTCACCCAGTACACCTGGCCATCTGGGACCACCAGCCAGAGGGGCATCCCGGTGGAGTCCCGGCGGACGTTCACCATATTGCCGTTGTTGTCTGTGATGAGTGTGACATCGCCATCCCCAGTGTAGGTGAAGTTGTACAGGTAATCTCCTGTGGGCAGACTCTGCGTGTACAGATGCTTTCCACTGGTATCAAACAGGTAGAGCTCCTGGTCGATTGGTGAGGACAGCTCATACATGTTCTGGGTGTTGAGGAAAGGCTTGTTCTTCCTGATAAACCGAATTCGGATATTCCCCAGGTCAGCCACATAAAGTTCCCCGTCGGCACACACAGCCAAGGAAGATGGGGTATTCAGCTTTGCATCCTTGGCGTAGCCATCATCTCCAGAGAAACAGTCACAGTTGGCATCATTTTTACAATCACAGCCACTGGGGGCTCCAGCAACCAGCGAGATCTCTCCGCTAGTGGTGACCTGCCTGATGCGGTTGGTCTTCTTCTCATCAGTCTCAGCAATGTACAGGACCCCATTGTGTGAGACGGCCAAGGCCGTGGCAGACTCCAGGGTTGCGTGGATGGCCACCTTGCTCAGCAGGAAGTGGTCGATGCCGGGGACCTGGCAGTGCATGGGTCTCCCAGCGACAATGCGCACCTGGTGGTTTTCAGAGATTTGCAGGACCACATTGTTGTCAAGGACGTAGAGAGAGTTGTCCATCGGGTTGATAGCTAAGTCTGTGGGCCACTCCAGGCGAACCTGACAATGGAGACACCGATACTCAGATGCCCGGCAAGGTGTTCACCACTTATCGTCCCACAGCCCATATAGCTTGTAATAATGTCCCAAGTGCCTTCACACGCAGTCCTGCCTGATCTCACAGTGGCTTGTCATCAACAATGGAGGTCAACCCCCCTGATCTGAGTGAAACCATGCAAAAGCTGCCCCCAAGACACCTGATGGTCTCCATTAGACTCCCAAAATATGAAGAAGGGAATAAAAAGGAAAAAAAAAAAAAGAAACATAAAAAGTAAACAAGAGATAGACTTGGAAGCCAGACAGGTCTAGGTTCAGATCCTAGCCCCACCATTATGACCTTTGGCAAATTACTTTGCCTCTCTGAGCCTCAATATTCATTATCCGTAAAACAGGACTGACGATACCACAGAGTGCTTAACCTATCGTAAGTGCTCAAATAATGACAGCTAATGTTATGGAGGTGGGAGAAGAAGGCAGATAGAGTCTGGAGGCTGAAGCAGGAATTGTTCAGATGTCTCAGACTCTACGTGAACTGCTGATATGATACCTGTACGAAAGACGATATTTCAACCTACTGAATTCATGGATTAACACGAATATCCAAATTCAGTTTATCAGGAAGAACAAGCCTTTCCTCAATATCCAGAACTGACATCGCCTGGGAGCTGGTCAGAAATACAGAATGGCAGGTCTCACCAAACCTACTGAATCAGAATCTGCATTTAAATAAAATCCCCGGATAACTCATGTGCACACTGAAGTTTGTGAATCCCAGCTCTAGAAAATGGTTTCTATACAAATCAAAACCACCATGAGATACCACCTCACACCTGTCAGAATGGTTCAAATTAACAATTCGGGCAACAACAGATATTGGCGAGGATGTGGAGAAAAAGGATCTCTTTAGCACTGTTGGTGGGAATGCAAACTGGTGCAGACACTCTGGAAAACAGTATAGAGGCTCCTCAAAAAATTAAAAACAGAACTACCCTACCCAGCAATTGCACTAACAGGTATTTACCCAAAGGATACAAAAATGCCGATTCGAAGGGGCACATGCACTCCAGTGTTTATAGGAGCACTATCGACAATAGCCAAAGTATAGAAAGAGCCCAGATGTGCATTGACTGACAAATGGATAAAGAAGATGTGGTATATATATTCAATGGACTATTACTTGGCGACCAAAAAGAATGAAATCTTGCCATTTGCAACAACGTGGATGGAACTAGAGGGTATTATGCTAAGTGAAATAAGTGAGTCAAAGAAAGACAAATAGCGTATGACTTCACTCGCATGTGGATTTAAGAAACAAAACAGATGAACATAGGGGAAGGGAAACAAAAAAAAGGTAAAAACAGAGAGGGAGACAAACTGTAAGAGCCTTTTATGTGCTCTTATAGAAAACAAACTGAGGGTTGCTGGTAGGGTGTTGGGCATTAAGGAGGGCACTTGTTGGGATGAGCACTGGGTGTTACATGTTAAGTGATAAATCACTAAATTCTATTCCTGAAACATTATTATTCTACATTAACTAATGTGGATTTAAATCTTAAAAAAGCAAAGAAACAAATAAAGTTAAAAAAAAAAAGAAAATGGTTTCTAGCACCCCAGAGAACAGGTCCTCCCAGAAGACATTAATGAAGGTGGCGATGGGAATGAGGGGTTCAGAGGTCCTGGGGCCCAGCCCGAGCCTCCTCTGAGCCGGGCTGGGAAGCTGGCAGGGATGATGGTGAGCTTGCAGGTAGGCATGCATGGGATGCAGTTGGCAGGGTCTGAGGTGAAGAATGCTGTGCTGGTGGAGGAGGAGGAGGTTGGATCGTGGGATACAGCACACCGGGAGGTAGGTGCTGGCACCACGGGAAGCCACTGGCCAGCTGTGTCCCCAAGAGGTCATCCAGACACACTGCACATGGGCTGGAAGCGTCTCCTCCATCCCAGTTGTCCTAGGAACACTCCTAGGAACTCACCACCTTTGGTTCCTGAGCCCCCTACAAACCCTCGACGCTCCGTCCAACGTGGGGCTTACTTAAATGCGCATGTTACTTTAGGTAAGAAATTTCTCTCCCAGGAATTTGCTCTTGCACCTTGTGAACAATGGTGCACACCACGGCAATGTTTAATGATGGTGAAAAACTGCAACCGACTCAAGTGCCCAACAAGAGGGAATTCACTAAATCAACGATGGTATTTAGTTCGCCCATGAGTTAGAATACTCTACGTAGCTCTTAAAAGTGATGTTATAGATGCATATTTAATGACATTGGAAAATGTTTGCTATGAATTAATTGAAAAGAGTAGGCTACAGAATTGTAAGCACAGTGTGATCCCAATTGGGGGAAAATGTAACAATAAATTAGATTATAGATAGAGGGGAGAAGAAAAACCAAAATGTTAACGGTACTTGGATTAGGGGTAATTTTAACTTTCTTCTTTGTAATTTTTAACTTTTTACATTTTCTACAATGTCCATGTGGTAGTTTACTAACGCAGAAAGAAACCCCAGTAAATTATATACCTATGAGATGTGGCCACCTCCGTCTGACCCTTCTGCTCAGGACCACCCTCAGGCCCTGCTTCCTCACTCCCAGCCTGGGCCCCTCTGCCCGCACAGAGCCAGGGAGCCTGAGGCAGGCCAGAGCCACTGGCCAGAGCCGCTGCCTTCACACTTCCCAGTACTCTCTGGAGCATAGCGTCACGGCAGCCCTTGGCTGCATCAGAACAGTTTACTGTAACGTGACAGGGGAGTTTTCAATTTCCTAAAACCCATTTCTTGTCAACACTGGCTGCTAAATATTTTATGCCTTCTGGTCCTCTGGCACCTTGGGGACCTGCTTGCTCAGACCTTTCTGCCAGTCATTATGATGAAAAGATGGCTCCCTGATGGGTGGGTGAGGAGGGGGAAGGGGGAGAGGAAAGAGGGGAAGGAAGGAAGGAAGAGCAAGTGCTTTTCTGCTCTCTCCTTCCTGCCCTGTGCACAGAGCACCTGGAAAAGAAGGAACAGGGCTCTGAGAGTCAGTCCTGGCTCTGTCGCAGAGCCTGTGTGTTAGTTCTGGAGCAGACCAAATACACAAGCTTCTCTGATTTCCCTCCTGTTAGTGACAGAGGTGCTCAGGCTTAATGTCCCATTGCTAAAATGGAGAACAAGACTTTAGAATTGCTGTGGTCCCTCCAGCTCCCACATTCTGTGGTCCTGAGAAGGGATAGAGCCCCCTCTCCTCTGTCCCCCAGAACACTCTGTGCCTTTATCAAAGCACTCTGAGATGACTGCCTTATTGCAGACTTATCTGTTCTCAAAAACAGGATTGCCAGATGAATGAATGACTACATGACTGGTCAACGGCACGGAGAGAGCGAGGGATTTGGGGCCAGCACACCTCACCTCTTATCTCAGTTCTATAATTACTACAGGTGTGCGTTACTTAAACACTTTGAACTTCTTTCCTCATATGTAAATGGAGGTAATAAATATTACATAGAGTAATTGTGAGTATCAAGACAATATACAAGGAATTGCTTTGTCAATTATAAAGGGAATGAATATTTACAGCCTATTACTAGCTGCCAGGCACTGTGCTAGGCAATTTATGTACACGGTTTCATTAAAAAATTCATTTCCACATCCCTGATGGAAACAAGCACAGGGCTCTGCATTTATAACTGCAATTCCCCGCCCCCTGCCTCCCCCTCCACCGCCCTGAGCCTCAGTTCTCTTATCTGTAAAATGGGGTAGATAATATCACCTCTAGGGAATATTGTGACAGCTAGGTAAGAAAAAGGAAGTCCTACTCATCTCTGTATTCTCCTTTCTAACAGTGCCTGGCACATAAGAAGTTCTTCAGAAGTCATTTTGGACCCTGCATATGGTCACACCCTGTAGCCTGCTGAGCTAGGAACTAATCCCCTCTTTTGATTGGCGGCAACATCTTCTGTTTCTTCTCTTCTCCATTCCTCCCTCTAGTTTCTCCTTGGGCCTGGGCTTATTTCCACCCAGGGGAGCTGGCCAAGTTCCTTGGTTCCCTGCTTTGCACTCTTGCCTCTGAGCTGTGTTCTTAGCTCTCTGGCTTACTCCCTGCTCCCCACGGGGCAGTAAAACAGCTCTGAGTGTTTGTACAGAGGAAGCTCTCAGAATGAAAGCCAGCACCCCCGTCCATATGTGTATATAAAAATATAAGCCGTGGCTGGAGAGTTTGGTAAAAAAAAAAAAAAATTCCATGCTTAGATTCAGATGAGGGTAGCGAGGACCAGGGGCAAAGGGATTTCAGCCCAGGATTTCTGAAGCTAAGTGTGGGTTTTTTCCCCGTTCCACTACACGCCGGTTGTCCTCTGAGCTTTTGATTTGGCTGCTTGGTAGCACCTCTCACTAAAGTAAAACAACTTTCCAACGTGTGGATTGAAAATTTTCAGTGCCCTGTGCTGGCTGGTACGGGGCCCGTTTTGAGAATTGAAAATACTCGCGTGCACATCCTCAGGCCGTAGCAGCTTCCTGACGGGTAATTCAAGCTTGCTCACAGACTGGAGAGGGAAATTCTCGAGCCAGCAAGGGGAAGCCTGCCAAATTGGAAAGACGAGTGGCAGAGAACAGATTCCATTCTGGAGCGGAACAATCACATTAGCCAGTGCAGAGGAAAACCACGCCAGCAACCGAAAGGGATGTGACGCGGGTGTTGGGACCGCCAGCACCAGCCTTGGGGCTCTGGGGACAGCGCTCCACAACACATGTCACTAACAGGGGGGCCTCCTGGCCTCTGTTGCACCCTGAGTACAGGGAGCAGGTGAACAGTCAGTGGAAAAGGGCCTGTGTGCAGCCTGCCCTACAAGGGGGTTTAAAAAGCTAAGTGTGGTTATTGCTGTCCCCACTCTACAATTTAATGTAACTCGTGCCTTCCTTTTTCCTGGGTTTTGCTAATGCTGGCAGCTCTGGCCAGGCCCTGCCGAAAGATCTAGCAATAAAGGACACTTTCCTTGCCAAGACGTTGCAGGACAAACTAAGGACATGCTGAACTGCCAGTCACTGGGTCTGCACTGGATTACTGGTGTTCACTGCTAAGGTCCAAACTGTTTGGACCCATGCACGGCATGGGAAGGTCGTTCCCTAACTGGCCCCAAATAACACTCCAGTTTCAACTCCTGCTTCTTCATTCCAAGAACCTTATGCTCAAGCATTCAATCTTCCAATGGTCCTTGAATATACCGGGCCCATGAACATCTTTGTACCTTTGCACATGCCGTTCCCTTTGGTGAAATGTCTCCATTCTTCCTGGCCACCCAGAAACCCCTATTAAACCTTCAAAACCTGGCACAAATTGCACTTCCTTTGTGGACGTGGGCACCAGAACTTCTGTTGATTGACTACCTTTCAAGTGCCAAGAGGTGCCAGGAGCCTAGTATGCACTGTTCGTATTTTCTCGAAGCAATCCTGCCAGGCTGAAGTCAGCTATTTCCATTTTTAAAATATATAAAAAAAAAAAGAGGTTCAAAGGACTTCAGGAATTTGTCCAAAGTCACTCAGTTAGTGAGCGGCAAAGCTTGGAGTCAATCAGCCAATCAATTAATTAATCACCAAATACTGGTTGTACTCCTACTGTATACAAGGTACTCTGGTTAGAGCAGGGGAAAAGATGAACAGAATTCCTGTCCTCATGTCATTTACAGTAGAGAAAGAGAAAAGACAATGTACAAGTACCTATGTTTCCAAAGAGGGGACTCACAGGCAGCTATGGATTTAAATTCACAGCATTTGACTCTCTGCTGCCTTTGAAGCTTCCTTGGGCAGATTTCTTCACTGTCCACGGGGATCCCTCTGACGACCACCTGTCATCCCTCTGGTGAACTCCCAGAGCACCAAGCTTCGCCCTACTCATCTTTGCGTCCTTAGTGCTTCCCCAGGCTCAGCCCCAAGAATGTGCTCTTCAAAGGCTAGTGCAGCATAAAGATGGGGGGCCAGTGGGAGAGCTGGGTACTGGTGAGAGGATGAGCGTGCAGCCCCAGGGCTCTAGCAGGCAGAGTTCTCCCCTTACCTGAGAAATATCCATGACGGAGTCACAGCTGAGGGGCCGGGCTGAGGTAAGATCATTGGAGCCCAGCAGGGTGGAGATGACCCCATTCTGATCAATGCGTCTGATCATGGTGCCATCCACAAAGTAAATCAGCCCAGACTTGTCCACCGTGATGCCTGGGAAAGAGAAGCCAAAACCAGCGTTAGAGGTGGTAACAACCTACGTGCAGATGGAGCCTTGTGGGCTGATTAAGAACCTCCCCTCTGTGATTTGATTGCATCCTCCCCACAGGATTCATTCCCCATCTAAAGGCCGGAAGACAGATGCCCAGAGGCTTAGGGTGACTTATTCAAAGCAGGGATTAGAACCCGAGTCTCCAGGGCTCTGGTCCCTCCACCTTACTGCTGAGATTTTTACCTATCAGCTTAGGTAGTCACCAAAACTGGACTCCTACTTCTGGGGGTTTGTCAAGCACTGGACGTAGCAGTAAGGAGAACCCTTTTCAGTGTCAAAGCTGTGAGTTAAGTTAACCTAACTTCTGAAGCCTTGTAATTCTCGCAATTAAATCCATCCCCATTTTGGTAACAATTTTTCTTTTCTTCCAAGAGAATCATCCTCCATGTTTTTCGATGTTTATGGTCATTGGTAATTATAGATGTATACAGCCTAAACATGAATCCTTTGGGTTTGTGTAGAGAATATGGGTGAAATAAATGTTTAGAAAAGGCACGTGGAAGAGAGCAGTCTGAATTCACCATTCACTTTCTCCATGACCAGCTGTGTGTGGCCTTGGGCAAGTCACTGGGTATCTCTGCGTTTGGATTCTCAGCTCTTAAATAAAGGGATTGTTCTAAATTTGTACTTCTCACTCCCGGCTGTGTTTGTGAATCATCTGGAAGCCTTCTATCATGTATCCCACAGGTAGTTGGTTCAGAACATCTCAAGTGGAGCCTGAATATTTATCTGTATTTTTGACAAGCACCTTGGGTGATCATGATATAAAACAAAGTTTCAGAACCATGCTAGTAAATCAGTACTTCTTAACCAGTGATGTGTATCAGAATCATTCTGAAGTGTTTATTCTCCACCCCCCCCCCCAACACATCCCTGCTTGGCCTCACTCCTGGAAATACTCATTCTGGGCGTGGCCGAGACTGATACATTTTATTGTGGGTGAGATTGATTTCCACCCTGGGTGCAACATCCCAAGTTTAGAAATAGCCCTACCAAACTGAGAACTGCTCAGGGGTGCTAGGGGGCGACACATGACCCCCAGGAGCACATGGTCCAGATGGGGAGGTTGGGGATGAGCCAGCACCAGGTGGAGTGCACCAGGGAGAGACATGATGAAGGAAAGGCAATTCTGGTCAGTTTTGCTCTGCTCAGTCTTCTCTGGGCAATGAAATGAAAGAAGGAGTTGGAGAAAGGTTCACAGAGGTAGAGACGCTTGCCAGAGAAAGCTTTCCAGTTGTATAACCTTGGCCATGGTATTTCACTAAGTCCAGCTTCCTCATCCACAGAATGGGGATAATAACATCTGATGTGTAACAGTTAGCCCTCAATAATTATTAGCAACTATAATTATGAGAATTCAACCAGCACTTTGTGAAGACCCTTTGCTCGGGGTCTGCGTGTCTGTGACTGGGGCGATTTCAGACACCCAAAGGGCTCTGAGTGATGAAGACCCCTGGAGTGGTGTTCTTTCCACCCCCTCCTTAAGGCTGCTCAGGGCTGGGGAGCGATTTCACACAGAGGACAAGGCAGGCTTCAGGCAGGGAAGCAAGCCTTTCCTCCTCCCTGCCTAGAATGTAAATTAATTACATTCTTTAAGTAGCAGGACAGGAGTTTTCTTGTCTGCCTGGCTATGCTCTGTCTTTCTCTTCCATCTGCTAGGACTGATGAGTGCTCCGCGAACAATCAGGATTCTTGTTTACAAAGTTGGCTGCACAGGCTAATAGAAGCGACCTGCCCCCTGATTAATTACTTCAGTTTTTCTCCTTTTGTTGTGCTAAATAGATGGACATCTTTTCTCCTCCCTGCTGCGAAGTGTCTGCATATTGTGGCACCCTTGTCATTTCTATCTGGGTTAATTACAGGCTTTTGGGCAATTTCACTGCTACTACATCTGTGTGCATGCATGCGTGTGTCTGTGTGTGCGGGGGTGGGAGGAGGGCGGGTGGAGAACACATGTGTGTGAAGCAACTGAGAAAACCTGGAGAGACACTTTCAAAAAAAGCTTTTAATCTGAAGAGAAAAGAATGTTGCAACTGCACGTGGTGCCGGGGCGGAGGGGGGGGGGGGG